GGAAAAAATGGAAATAAAGTCTTTGTAAATAGGGAAGGGTGGAGGGGGTGAAGGGAGGGCTAGGAATGGGGAAAAAATAAGAAGCAAGATGCATTATATAAAGGTACAATTCCCAATGAGAAATGTAATTGTGCTGTATACCTACAATGTACCAATAAAAGAATTTAATACAAAAAAAAAGAATAGAATTAGAAGCACTATGATTAGTGTGTTTCCAGGACAAAAATCTTTGCCTTCACTTATTAAAAAAAAAAGAACCCCAGAAAACAAAAACAAAATCACCAATGCACTTAGGGAGCTGAGAGAAATTATGCAGGAAGTAATATAAGAGGATAAAGTGTGACAAAGTTATGGGTGTTTAAAGAATTCCGGAAATGTTTTCATTCTGATTCCCATTATAATTAGGTTTCTAGCAGATGGGGAGAATATAAATCATATCCTAGCAGGAGACAGACACTGAGTTCTCCAAGATACATAGCATGCTGAAAAGACAGCTGCTTTTATCTCAGGGATGTGACAACCCGACTTTGTGTTTTGTTGGATTTTAAAAAATAAATAATTGATTGTATACTGTTTATTACAGCTCCCCCACCCCACAGGCAGCAAGGAATAAAGAAAACCGTGATTAAGTAGCTCTGATGTCCCAGTAACCTACTGAGAGCACAGCATTTACCTCCTAGAAGAGGGTTGCTAATTCCTACCAGGAGAGCAGTGGGAGGGCAATACCATACTCCTAACAATGCTAGCATATTAAAGCCTGAGAAGAAAACGGGCAGTGATTTATTGTTAGGGGTGGGGACAAGCACTGTGTGCCTGAATTTTGCTTTGAACCCAGTTGAATGGGTGTTATACACCCAGATTTTAAAAGAACACACATAACCTGTCCTTTCCTCTTATCCATCATACCTGGAATTATGAGCAACAATGGCTATAGCATGACATAGCTAGAGTCCTCCAGAACCTCTACCAACACGATTTCAAATGTATGTGGTCCTTTTATACATAGGCCCTCATCACGTAGCTCAGGACATAGCATGATCTCACATTAGTCTAAAATCATTTCTCAGTTTGTGGCATCTGACAGTAAACATTCTATGGATTCATTGGGCCCCTCCTAGGCCTGTGTTCCCAGAAGAAAGTAGCTTGGTGCCCTATGTGAGTAGGGTTTGGGTATCTAATTGCTATATGTCAATTCGTAGAATTTCAATCTGAAGTTAGAAAAAGGGAAAGAAGACAACTGTACCAGAGATTTTTCATGCATTGCTTTGAAATATGACAGGATAGTTTACCAGTTGAAAAAGAGATCTACACATGGTGTCAGGAATAGCGTGATGTTCTGTCTCCAGAATATTTCTCTGGGATAACATTAAAAAAGCCCTGGTGGTTCCTGACCACTGAGCCCCAATGCAAACCCATTCTGAGTTATCTATGCCAAGTTTGTCAGCGTACATGATGTTCTACAGGAGGATCAAGCAGGCTGAACACAAACTCTCCCTTGAGTGCTTACATCTAATGCCCAGGGCAAACACAGCATGACCATTAAACCAAACACAAAACACATTCCCACAAGCTGATGGATTTCAGTTACAGCAGGGGCAAGGGGATCAGTGGGTAGGGTGGGCAGAGAGAAAGGAAGAACAGAGCGGAAAGCCATTTTGGGTAAGAAAAATGAAGTGGAAATGAAAACTCAGTGGCAAGCCTCCCGATACAGAGAAAATTAACTTGTTTCTCAGCCTTCCAAGACTCTTTCAAATTATGCTCAATTACAAAAGGCAAATATTTATACACGTTCACAACCTCTGGGCAATCCAACCCATCCCAGCAGTGAAGCTCTTTGGGTTTCCTCATGAGCCAATGCTCTTTGGCTTTGGTTGGGCCTGGTGAATCCTCTGAGGTCAGGATCACGGAGCTCTCTTCATCTCCTCTGCCCAGGGCTCACTTCTGGGGTCCCTGTTTTTGGAATTATTGCTTAAGAGCTGCTGCAAGGTAATGGCTTTTTCTTCTGATTTTTTATCTTCAAGCATTAAACTTAATAGTTACTTTGGACTGAATCACACATATTAGATCCAATGAAATGAGGCCCTAATATCCCATAAAGATTAAGACATAGGAATTTGCATGACTATCAGGACTCATTTTAACAATACTCTGAAGTTCAATTTGGACTAGAAACTTGAATACTGCTTACTGGAAAACAAAGACACCTAGGTCTTGAATGTCAAAGAATGCATTTATGAATAGAAGATCTCTTTCCACAAGGTAACCTGCTGAATGTGCCAAACACACAAACACACACACATGCACACAATTCTTTGTGGCCATGAGAGATGCTTATATTACTTTAAATGTTCTAAAATTATATAGGGTGGGGCAGTTCTAAGGCAATAGGAACTCTAAAAACAAAAAGTGTAGCCTTGTCCCATATGAAACGGTTTGAAGCTGGAAGGTTGGTGGTCCAACTTTTTTCTAACATGGCAAAATTTCTTCTTTGTGACTTGGCTCCTTCCCATTCTGAAACCTGGAATACTTGTATATAATCTTAAAGAGAATCCTGCAAGGATGGAAAGGTCAGGCATCCCCTCAGGGTTCAGTGTCTTACACTGATGGGCTTGAAAACATCCTGTGATTCCAGACCAAGGTGAATCCACCAGAAGTTTTTCTAGGTTTAAGGAAATGTCCTGTCACCTGAAGCTCGGGTGACTATGACTTAAGAAATTATGATGGAGCAGGGCAAGGTGAGGTACATCTATAATCCCAGGACAGAGGGAGGCTCAGGCAAGAGGATCAAATGTTTGAGTCCTGTCAAGGCAACTTAGTTAGACACTGTCAAAATAAAAAAGGAAGGGGATGGGGGATGTAGCTCATTGGCAGCATGCCCCTGGGTTTGATCCCCAGTACAGAAAAAAATAAAAACAAAATAAATTAAAATAAGAACAACATCCCCCCCCACAAAAAAAAGAAAGAAAAAAATTGTTTGACTATCCAGCTCCTTATGGGGACAGGACTTATTAGTGGGAATTTCCATAGACTTCTGCAGCAACATTGCAAATTGAGAAGAAATCTTTTCATCCTAAGCGTGTATTCAAATTCCCTAAAAAAATGATTCAAAAGGACTCTGAGTCATCCTGCAAGGCTTTAAGAAAAATCTCAATTAAGAGACATACAGACACTAATATCTTTATATATTTATAAAATGATTCTAAAGAAGCATTATCTTGCCTTTCCTTTTCTTGTAATTTCTTCCTCTTGACTTGCCCAATCCATTTGGTGGCAAGTACTTCACAGAAGAATGATAGCATCTCTTGTCTTTAGTGACCACATCTCTAACTCAAAGTTGTCCCCTGAAAAAGTATGTCGGTAATATTCAATATATTCACTGCTGAATATGATGAAAACAATGTCTCACAGTTAATTTCTATTGCCAATAAATAAACCCTACTCTCAAGTTGGCAAGTTGCTATCTTCAACCTACACTGAGCAACAATCCAAGAACAGAGAGGAGACATGTCATATTACCTGACATTCAGCACCTATTAGAAACTGTGAATTTATGACAATACATTTCATTCCTTCTGTGTAGCCCTGAATATTACATCTGTGTGACAGTTTTGAGATGAACTCCATATTTTAAAGGAGTAGGAACATCAAGAGGATTTTCACTAGGGTCTCTGTTACACTTACAGGTTATAGCACATGGTTTCTATGAAAGCCCATTTGGCCAGTACCTGGCATGCAGTGAATGGTTTAATTCTCCAGAGGAATGGAGGAATGTCAAGGACAGAGATCTGGAGACTGAAGGTGTTCCCTTTGAAGTGCAGCAACTTTGGTTCCTCCAGTAGCTGTCCACCTTGATGCCTTTCATCTGAAACCACTTCCTACAGGAGAGAGAAGACCAGAGGAACAACAATGAAGCATACAGCACTTTCATCTGTGGGTACAGATGCTCACTACCATGTGTCTCTTGGTGATGGAACAAAAGCATAATAGAAAAACACTTCTTTTAAATCTCCACATCCCTACAAAGTTCTGGATGAGGACTGAAAGCTGCTGAATAATAAGCATTGGTCAGCAAGAGACAACTCTTTTTTATGTTGCACAGGCTTTATTAAGTGGCTTTCTTTAAAACTAAAAGACCTCTTCTGGCCACAAGAAAACTGTAAAACTGTTGAGTTTCTGTGATGGTATGAATTTCATTCTGATAGGACCATAACCGATGGAAGTATTTATATCTAAGCTGCACCACCACTGTATTTCACCATAAACATAGACACATGCCTTACCACTCTGTTTCATTATTCTCCATAACACCAACATTAAAGATTTTTCTTTTGGTGGACAGGCTCAAAATAGATGTTCCAGAGTGCATGTTTTTTTGTGGCAACATTCATAAAAGCTATTACGCCAAACACCAAGAAAAAATGTTATTTATCACATTAGCTTTTATTCAGGAAAAAAAATCAAATTTCTCATGTTAAAAACATATCTTACACTAAGAAATCTTTATATCTAGTATGAACAAACCCTACATACATTCTATTGAGTAAGCATTTAATTGGTTTTAAACTTGTGGTTAAAATTATATTGAATAGATGATAGGACAAATAAAATAATAGGACAAGTATGTATTCTGTAAAACAATAAGCTAGTGTGAAGGTAAAGCTTTTCATATGACTGCAGATAAGAGATTTCCCTAAATGCATTATAAAATCACCATTAATTGACTTACAATTTCCTTGCAGAGCTAGGAGAAATGAAAAAATAAAAATCCATTATGCCCTATAATCGTCTCAAAAAGGTTGTAGGAAATAAGGCAAATAAGTTTATAGATACAATAAAACTTGCACTTCAATTATCAATGAATAAGAGCAGCTTTTTGAGTTGTCATATGTACATATGGCATCAGTAAAATCATGGGCAATTTTTATTCTTCAAGGACACATAAACTGTTAATAGGTTGCTATTTTTTCAGGATGAAATGACTGAATTTCATTGTCCTTTTTTCCAGCTCTTTTGGTCTCACTGGTAGGAAGAGTGGTTCTTAGAACCTTGATGGCAGCACTGAGCTGGATGTTCTGAGACAGTTACTCTATTCATGCTGTCCAATATGGTAACCATTAGCCACCGTGACTATTAAAGCACATGAAATGTGACATTTGTATTTTTAAGTGGTTCTTAAATGATTGTGATGCCTGGCTACGTTAGGGAATCAGTAATACAAATATCTCTGAGTGAGTTCTGAGTCATTCACATGCATGTGTCATCCCAAGAGTGAGGACTGAGAGTCACTTGAGTTTTCCTATCTGCCTCCTATATTTCAGCTAAATCAACTGTTTAATTGATTTCTGAGTGCAGGAGGTGGTAATGATGGAGGTGGTAATAACAGAGGAAGTGCTATTCAAGCTGATCCTTTTGTAGGTTTAGGACATGGCCACTTGGAAAGGAGGAGAGAATATTGCAGACAGTGAACAGGGAGTCTACAGAGGCATGGTGACCAGACTCAGATGGGACAGGAAATTTGGGTAAGAAGAGTGTGGCTGGAAACAACATATGTGAATGGCAGGGCCCAAATCACAAATTCTTGCTTGTCACCTGAAGATCTTGCATTGTATTTTAAAATAAACCTGCTGCTCTTGTTTTAAGGTATGTAAGAATCTCCTGGGGATACATATAGTCAAAGAGTACTCATAAGTGAAAGATGAAAGCACAAGATTCCAATCACACTTCTTTGTGGTCTTTGGCAAATTTCTTGTTTCTTTAGGCCTTGTTTGCTTACCTGGGTTTATTCTTAGCCAAGCAAAATAATCAGCAAGATAATATATTATCATTTTTGCAATTCTGATGCAAGGTTAGAAACAGTTATAAGAAACATGCTTATTAAAACTATATTAAGGCCACCACAGAAAAACAGTGTTAACTCTCTAAGGTAGATTTGAACTAGGCTCTCTGAAGTGTACTTCTTTCTTTCAATCTAACTTACCTAAATGCCAGAGAAAGTCCAGGGAGATGCAGTGACTGGTTGGAGATTATCCATTACCTAGTGTAGTGCTGGGCTATTTTAATATTTAGAAATTAGGCAGAATCATCATATTAGAGGGGAACTTAATGGAAATTTAGATCACTCACCCCTGGTTTACAGATGAAAATTTGGAGGCCTCTCCAGAATTGTCATTTGCCTAAAGTTACATGGTTAATGAGTGAGCAAAGACTAGAGCTGAACAGCTTCATCACAGTCTGTTGCCATTTTCTGCTAGAGCTCCTTGCCTTCTCTTACACTATGGTTGATATTTCTTCATAGAGTTATGGAAAGTCCACACTGCTATTAACTCTGTCCTATAGTTTTCTTATTGGATATATATATATATATATATATGACATAAGTCAGTTTGTATTTGTCGTGGAGTTGTATATCCTGGCTAGACAGCCCTTGAAATGCAGACTGAAGAATATTAGAAATTTTAAAAATGAATATTTCTTTATAATTATTACAGAGGAAAAGGATACTTTTAAAAAAGTTATGCTTTAGGCTTCCAATTTAAATACAACCATAATTTATTTTTTGTAATTTTAGATTATTAATTTAATCTGTGCATACTGAACCAACTATATGCAATTAATAGTATCTCATAATCTCACACAAAATATTAAGCAATTACAGTAATTCTGTAACAAAACAATTCATTGTTAAAATGAAAAATCCTAACGATGAACTAATCACTATATTTACACATTAGTAAAGACAGAGTTGGCTTCAGCATTAAATAAATAAACTTCTCAGTACAACTTCTGAAACACACTTCAAACAGAATAGAGTCTATTTAATAGAGACTTCTAGCCAAGCCCTTAGACTACTGAACCCTCTGGGCCTGGACATCTGTATTTATTTCATTGTTATTTGCTACACATGGATTGAGCCCAGAGCTTTTACAATGAATATCCCTAGCCCTTTTTTTTTTGTTTTTTTTTTTGTGTGTGTGTGTTTTTGAGACGGGATCTCATTAAGTTGTTAAGTTCTCCAAGGTGGGTTCAAACTCGCCATCCTCCTGCCTCAGCCTCCCAGAGTGCTGGGATCATAGATGTGTGCTGGGATCACAGATGTGTGCTGCCACACCTGGTGACATTTGTATTTTTGAGTGGTTCTTCGATGATTCTGATGCCTAGCCATTTTCTGGAATCAATGATACAAATCTCTCTATTAAGTGACTTCTGAATGACCTGGATGCATATATTTCCCTAAGAGTGTGGCTTGAGAGTTAGCTGAAGTTTCTATCTGTCTCCTGTATTCCAGTTAAGTCAACTGCTTAACTGATTCCTGACTTAAGGAAACTAGAAAACAGGGTCTGGCTGGTTGCTTGTATACAAAAGGTATCGGAAGCCTCTGGACTGCAGTTTCCTTGGCACTCTACCTCTTCATTTCATATTGGGTGTTGCAAGTTCTGGAAGCTGTGGCCAGGAAATATTGGTGCTTTCTGCCTTGCTGAGCTCTTTCTGTTGATTTAATGAGACAGGCAGCAATATTCAGGTGTGCTTCAGGGATACCAAAACAGGCAGGGTGAATTTACATATTTATGAGACAAAACTGTTTGAACTTAGGTACACAAACACACACACACACACACACACACACACACACACACGGAGATATGTTGCTGTAGTGTTTTCTTTTAAATGCTTTACATGAACAATATTTCCCAAGGTTGCATTATTGATAAACACAAGAACTACATCTGGAGGAAATCCTTTGAAATTAGATTCTAAATCCACATTAATGCCAAGTAAGTAATGAGTAGGAGAGGTACTGCATAGGAGTGCTGGGAGCCATGGAGGAAAAAAAAAAGTAGTGTTTTTTTCTATTCTCTTTTGAAGATAACATGGAGCAAGTGCTTAATTCCTTGCTTTTCCTATGTCAAGGTTTGTGTAAGCTATATGTGTGTGTCTGTGTGTAATAGAACACAAAAATGGGGAAATCAGGTCTTAAAATGTTACAGCTTTGGAAAAAAATCACCAATCCTCAGCCTTTGTTTGAATTCATCAAAGGAAGCAATAGCAAGCGCTCAGACCAAATGGCTGCTCTCACTCTCATGGAAACAGAAGCAGGAGGACAAAAGGTTGTTTGACCTTTCTGTTCTCTCCCTTACCTCACCTTCAGGCAGATGATGGTTTCATTGTTTAGTAACGTATCTGTATCTGAGTTGCCTTAATTTTCCATAGAGAAGGTGTTAGATATACTTGTCAGAACAAATCTTCAGAAAAATCTGATCCTGCATTAATTGTGTCTTTGCCAGGTTAACAAAGTATGTTGTTTTTTCCATTCAAAGACACAGCTACTATTTTTCAGATAACTTAACCCAGAAGAAATGAAAAGTAGAGTAGCCTTGTAGGAAGGCTAGGGGAAGGACTGAAAGCTCCTATTTAGTTACCAGCATTCTTTAAAGGAATATTCTTTGGTGGGGCCATAATGTTGCCTGGCCATTACCTAGATCTACCTGAGCAGGTAGACTTGAGTTTGGACTTAAATAGGTAGATAGATTTGTGTTTGCTCAGGTAGGCTTGAGTTTGGACAGGTGATGTGGTTCTTCTTGCAAGGTCTTGCAGAGATAGGATGGGGATTTCAGTGTTTTATGTGACATAATTTCCCAAGGAGATGTGAATGAAATATAAGAAGCATCCCTGGCCTTCAACCACATTTCCTTCCTGGTTGGGAGCAAAGCTCAAGGTAGGCACCATTTGCTACCATTTCTTTGAGATGCAGTAAATGCAGTAGCTGTCACAACTATGTTTGCATCCTTTTCCTAATCACGATAAACATTTCTTTATAGTGAGAGCCAAAGCAAATTCTAAGATGCACAATTTCATAAAGAAGTACACACTAGTTTTGATCAAGACAGTTTCTATGAGGATTATAGAAAATAAGCTAACATTGTAAGCAGTATTTTCAGCTCTTACCACCCAAGTTGGGGGAGTGAATATTAGCTGTGGAGTCTTTTAAAGATTCAAAATGAATCGTTGCTGATGATATCTTAAAAGTTTTAATGGGTTGGTAGCTATATTATTTCTCCCACTAATAAATACCATATATAAAGCCATAAAAATATGACACCAATGATTTAAGATATTAAGGTGATCACACTGAATTTATGCTGAAGGTTCTGAGACATTTGCTTAGCAAGGTAAAAATCCGGAAGGCAAAATCATTTCAGACACAAAAACCAGAGTCTATGGATAGGAAGTAAATGGTGATTTCCTGGACTAAGAAGTCTCTGTTGATAAAAGGTAAAAGTTCTGTTTTAAGCTATCTATAAGTCAAAAAAGTTATTTAACCAAGGTTGATGATCTTGCAGAACCCCAGAGAGGAGGTAAGGTCTTTGCTGTTCATGACAGCTGTCACATACATCCTTAGGATAACAAGTGCACTCAAAGGTGACTTTAAAGTCAAATTTAGCTGAAATAATAGAAGAGACAAAGAATCACCATGGATGAATAGATTATGATGAATGAGGTTCAAAGGTATTGCCACTGAAAAATATTTTTTCCATAGGAAAGGTAGTTTTATTAATTTAAGACATACCTCCTAAATAGTGAAATAAAGATTCCTAGATTAAATTATAGAGAGACTAACTCTATTCCTGTTGGTGACTCACCCTTCTTAGTCACTACTAGAGAAAGTAAGTGGTTTGGAAAACTGAATTTAGGGTTTTGTTGTCATGTACATGAGGTGTGATCAAAATATATAGGAAAGTTTAAATTTAAAAAATTCTTACAGAAAAGACACATTGCCATTAATCCCCCTCCAGGTAGACTCCTTCACTTTGAACACTTTTATCCCACTCTTTTAGGCCACTTTCTGATGCAGTTCTGAAAGTCTTCCTTCATGAGTGCCTTTAATTGCACTGTCCTGGCCGCCTCAATGTTCTGAATTGATTCCAAAAGATTGCTGTTCATAGTGATTTTGACTTTAGGGAAGAGCTAGGAGTTGCATGGTGCTGGAGCCAGTGAATAAGGTGATGAGAATGCACTGTGATGTTTTTTACGAGGCTGCCTTTTTGTTAAATGACACTCACTATATTTTTGATCATGCCTCATAAAAACACTCATGAAAGAGGACTGCCAGAACAGTGTAATAAGTGTATTCAAACTGAGGAAGAATATTCTGAGAGGGGTAAATGGCAATGTGTTTTGTTTTATTTTTGGTACTAGGGATTGAACTCGGGGACCTTGCGCTTTCAAAGGAGGCGGCAGAAGCAATGAGTAAATTCCTGGCCCAGCAATGCATTTTTTACAGTGATATATTTTTTATAATTTAATATAATATAATTTATCTTATATTTGAACAGTGGAGCTGTTGTGGAATCTGATAGTATCACTAAGAAGGAAAGTAGATTACCCAAAAGTCACTGAGGATAACGTCTTTAGGCAAATATCTATATTTTCTGGTATATGCATCAGAGTGAGACCACCACTCAGAGAACAGTCTCAGCTGGTTCGGGGTTGCCTTCCAGGGCAGTTGTGTGGGCAGCTCTGCACAGTCACTGTGGTCATCAGTGGGTTATCTACATGTGCCAGGAGATTGGAAATCCTGCATGCCCACTCTAGTTTGCACAGGCTTTAAAATCTGGCTGAGCTACTAAACATCCAACTGGAGTCACTGGTGCATTTTACACAACTTCTTGGTGGAGGCAGTAACCCCCAGATGAACCCTTCTACTTAGCCATTTCTGTTTTTTTGTCTACTGAACATCTATCACGTATTTCCTCTTGAAGAAATCCTCATTTTGAAGGGTGGAGAGAGCAGATAAAACAGTACAGTATATATAAAGTGACAATCACAAGATGAAGTTTAATAGTTACACTGAAGTTCCTTCCCAAATGCCACACCTATGAAAGAAGCTCCTTTTGTGAGCAACCCCAAATTAAGTGTGCCCTTCATAATGACTTGTGCTGCTTACAAGATGGTCATGGAAGGTTTGGGAATGCAGGCTGGCACGGTGTCACCTTTACTGGCTTATGCTCAGGATTCAGGTCATTGTATCTTTTCTATTGGTAAACATGAGTTTTCCAGCTCAGTGTCTTAAAATCTAGTTACTGAGGAAATGCACTGCATAATGGGCTTAATGATCCAGGACTGGAATAGCAGGGATCTGGAATGAGGTGTGTCAGGAGAGCTATGATATTTATATATGAGCAAAGCTTACACAGGCAGTTCTGCATTATCCTTGCTGCTATTAATAAGCTTGAACTCTTCATGAGTAGCTAATTTAAAATGAGTCTTACGTGATTAAAAATACCAAAAATGGAAAGGAACCTTGAACATTTCTGCCCTGGTAGCCCTAATAATTAATAGACTATGTGTCCAGGATATAATATGACTGCTTGGTGATAGTGTGATTTATAATTGTTATTCCCATCTGCAACCTTCAGTTGGTTCGAGCAATTTTTTCACTGACCTCTGCACATCCAAGAACTCTGTTCTGGGGCTCCTGCCTTTTTACTTTCTCTGTATGGTATCCCTTTGTCTTTGTTCCTAAATATCATGCAGCCATAGGGTTCATAAGAGTTTCCTAAGAACTTCTCTAATTTCTCTGTCTCATTTGCATCTCTATGTTCTGAATCATGACTACAGTGAGTTTTATCATTTACTACAAAATGCTCTCTGGGTGCGTTAAGTTGACCTTTCTCATCTTGAGTGCCAAGTACCTCATCTGTTCTCCGTTGTTGGGCAGCCAGCAACACAGCTCTTGCTTCAGGATCGGTGTGCCAGTCAAACCTGTATTGTGGGTTCATTTTCCAAATCCCCAACAATAGGGTCCTCTATTGACACTAAGCATTAGGAAACCCCACAGTTTTATGACACCAGAAGAATCATACAAAATTACTAACCTGAAATGCACAAGGGGTGTTATCCACACAGTAAACTCTCAAATTGTAATCCAGAGAGTTGCAGGACATACAGCCAAAGACTGCCACCTTGAGTTGCTTCACAGCACAGTCTGTAATTGGCTCGCCTGTAAGGGCATAGGTTCCAAAGCTATCAAGGAGCACGTGACAGGCAAAGGGATCCAGAAGGCAGTAACAGGATGTGGATTCATCTTCCACTGACATCACTTCCTGTTGGGGAAAGATGTATTAAATTATCCAAGTTTGCAGAAAGATGAGACTTAGCACTTTACAAGGACATAAACAAACCAATAGGAAGAAATACTTTTTTCAGAATATTTTTATTATCTTAATTATCTTGATGTTAAGTATTTTTCTTCTATTAAAATAACTGCTTTCATCAAAAGCTCAATAAGTGGTTATATTTAGTGTGTGGCAGCTCTACTTTGATTATAGTAATAATCATTTTGGAAGTTCCATTTCTGGTTAATGATTCAATGTCAGCTTTAAAAAAATGTCAAACATTAACCTCAATAAAAGAAACTTTTATTTTTTATAAAGATCTATTTCAGGAAATCTTTTAAAAATATCCTTAAGGTAATGTTTATTTCTCTTAAACATTTTATCGTCTTTCATTTCACTGAAATCATTCACGAGGGACCATTAAATAAATGATTTGGGTGTAATGTACTAGAATATTTTACTCTCTACTTTTATATGTGTGACTGGTTTGGGAGACCATAACTATAACCACATCTGGTTGTAAAAGAATATGAGGAAATGCTGAGAAGAAAAACTCAACTGGTAAAAATCAAGGCAGAGCAAAACATAATGGGAAGGAGAACAAAACATGGCTCCTGTGTGAACTGTGTGCCTTGAGAAATTTGCCCTGGTACTATGACTGAATGCATAGCAGAATGCTTCCAGACTTAGCTGGGCAGGGTGAATGTAATCCATTGCAGCAAGTGAGAATTTTCTATTCCTAAAGAACTACGATTTTCCTTTTACTTCTTCTGTTTTAAGCACCTCCTGTGAGGCAAGATCACAGGTCTAGCTGCAGCAGGTCATTGTGTTGCAACAAGATAATTCACCTGCTTTCATGCAAGCTGACTGTAGATGGACATGATGGAATTCCTATCAGACAAGTAAATCAGTGCTTTTCACTTAAAATAGTAATTCCATTACAATCATTCTCTGCTGTGGTGGTCTCCTGGTTGTTGGCCTCTATTATGTACCCTCCACTCTTGTTTCTTTTTCTGTTCTCTCTTGTGCATGCAATCTCAGGCACAGGGAAAGAGACATCAGTAGTAATCCTCAATTCATTCCTTAATCCACAGAACATAGATTAAATCCCTACCATTTTACCAATCAACCTAGTTATGTTAGAATCTACAGGATAGGGTAAGAAATGATACTGTGGTTGTGTTCTGCACACAGACTGCCTGCCTGTCTCAAGACTTTTCCTTATGTGCGATAAGCAATGTCACATTAGATGGAGACATGGCCTGGGAGGAGGTGAGGGGGCAGGTAGCTAAGTGTACACATCTCTGAGGGCAAGTACAACTGACACCAAAAAAAATGTTTTTTACTTTTTATCTCTTGCCTCTCTTTTCCATTACTATAGGAAAAGACTAGGCAATAGCTTGAGAATATTATAAAATGCATGTCACAATTCCTTTGCAAAAAGACAAGACTCAAAACCTCAATGTAGTAAGAGAGGTCAATCTACCCAGAGAACCCAACTCTCATTTTATAAAGAAGGAGGCCTGGGGGCTCACCTCCCATTTGCCCTGCTGAGTCCGCTTCTTTAAGTGTATGTTCCAGTGCTCTGCGCTGACGTCTGCACAGTGAGGGATGGTCAGTGCAAAGGGGGTGGTGACGACCATGTCCGGAGGGCCGCAAGTGACTTCTGGACTCAGGAGGACCTCAGACCCCTCCGACTGCAGGCTTCATTGAGGAAAGAAGAAAAGTGCATAGGAGGAGGTGCTGTGAGTGAGCATTCAGTTACAGACCAGGGAACTCTATGAGCTGAGCAAATCCTTTCTCCTTTATAGCAGCTTATTCACTAAAGGCTGCTCTGAAGAGGAGCTGTTAATTTTAAACTCCTCAGGCACACAGACCAAGGTAGGTTTCAAATCTAGGTTTTGACCAACAAATGAACAAAATGACCATTGCTTCCTTGGAATGATAGGGCAGAATCAGAGGACTCAAATACTGACTGTTGGGTCACACATCAGTTGCTGAGTCCTTATTTTTTCTGATAACATTGTCAATGACAAAGCTAAAAACATTATACAGATGACTGATCTGGTAGTCCTATTATGATCAGATTACTTTTTCCCCACCACACATTCAATAATACTTTTAATGCTAGTAAATGATAAAACAAATCATTGTGGAACAAAACAGTACTTCAAACATACAGAGATTGATTATGTTTCTTTTGCTTTTGAAAACATTTATTTTCTGCCAGTGCATAATACATAGGTTGTACAGTGATAGCACAGTAGACAGTTAGTTATAAATGTACATCATCAAGTACATAAATATGTATTTTCAACTCTTTCTTATTTCAGATCTGAATTTAAAATCATTCCACCCAAACCTGGCATTCAGATTTTTTGTATTATAAATTACTTTCAATGGAAAGGCAGTCATGAAAGAGATAAAAGAAAGTGCAATTTACAAGAGGAATAATGACACTTCATTGAATGCTTGCCTTTGCATTTTCCTGACTTATTTTTTACAGTGCTGGGGATCAAATCCAGGGACTTTTGTATGCTAGGCAAACAGCTTTAACACTGAGCTATACCCCAGCCCTTGGCTTTTGTTTTGAATCATTGTCTAAATGAAGAGGTGGTAATAAGAAGTAGTTTATAGGACAGCAATCAGTTCAAATAACTTAGAAATGTGATGTGCTTAATTTTTCCCCAAACTGTTTGTGTTCTTGAGTAAACTATTTGATTCCTTTAAAAATTTTTTTGGTTTGCTGAGTTTTTACTTGCAAGAAATATGATGACATTAAATATAGCCAGTAAAGCAATTTAGCACTCACAAACAAATAATGCTGCAGGAGATCTTGGACTGACATTATTATCAAACCTTTTACTCACAGCACCTAGGGAGGACATTTAAATATGTCATCCTTGATAAAAATCAACCTCTGCAGCAACATCAAGATGAAATTTGTTTCTAAAAGATGACACCTGTCCCATGACCTTGTATAAACAGTTTGCTTATTAATTTTTGTTTCTTTATTAATTTCTGAATTGCTTTTCTTGCCGTCTCGTTTCCTCTTATATTGGTTGTGGTCAGACTTGAGCTCATTATCCATCATTTGCTGCTGCAATAAAAAGCTATATAACCAGAAGGATTGCCTTACATCTACTGTATGCAGGACAGAACTGGACATTGTTACATGATTTTCCTCCCTTCCCAGGAAGCCCTGGAGATGGCTTCAAAAAGTTCAGTCGTCCCTAAAGTCCAAATTTGACAGCTATTCTTCTATTAGCAAAGTGGAGTTGAAGCTGTAAATATGTTTGCATTTACCTTTGAGCATTCGGCAAGATTGGAAAGCAGTGTATTCGCAAAGGCAAATGCTCCATAAAAAGTGCAGACCAGTGTATTCAAGGTTTGGGGAAAAAAAAGTAAACTTCAAGTGTACACTGTAACCAGCAGGAGCTGCAGCCTGCGTGTGGATGCCTGCCAGCGGCCATTGGAGGGGAAGTTTCTTTCCTGTAATTGCTGCCTGCATTCAGCACAGACAGGAATAGCAGGGATGCTTATGAGTGACCGATGACAAGCTCTCCTAAAAGAATTATTTAATTGCTTTCAGAGAATCATCCCCCTTGTTGAACATATTGTTCAAACATATGGGAATTTGGGGAATTATTTAATGCCAAATGAACTGAAATCAGCTAATTACATGAACCCTCACACTCATTGAGAATAGCAAGACTCCTTTCGGTAATAATTTAAATAGCATTAGCGGGCAGAGGCAGTGCATTTTGAGTATTGCAAAGAGCAGAGAATAGGAGCTTTGCATTAAGCAGGCAGTGGAGGTTTCCATAAGTGCAAAGTAAGTAAATCAAGATTTACATCTAATCCTCCTACTCTATGAAAATAGTATCTGTGGGTGTCAGTCTCTCTCTGGTGAAGGAAAAAACTTAATCTCTCCTTTTTTCCCCATGATTAATAATAATTTGCCCTTTCCTGCTACCTTTTCTCTGTGGCAATCAGGGAGATTTACAAATATTAATTAAAGCCCTCTACACACCTGTGGAGGCAGGTGTTAGCAGCAGAAGGGCACAGGGAAGTCAATCAAAGGGATGGCAACAAAATAACCCTAAATTTCTGACTCACCAGCTCCTACTCTCTGGGAACAGATTGCTCTTTTCTTCTGTGTCATTGTTAGGAGATTTCTAGCCAAATGGCTGCTCTTAGGACATCTCCAGGAAAGAAGGGGGATGGGAAGTTAGTCCAAGTGTAGACAGAGACACAGGTTCAGGACATTTGAGGACAGGCTGGAGAGAAAAGCCTTTAATTGAGTGTGGACAAAAATAATGTTTTGTAAAAAATAAAAATAAAAAAAGCATAGATGACATTTCAGTTTTCTAACATTATACAATACACAATAAGGAGTATTCATTTCCCTGCTGGAAAAAGAATGCAACAGTTTCCTAATATTGTTATGAGCTAATAATAGCTATGAACAATTAACTGCAGTGATTTCAGGGCCATAATATGATTCACCTCACTGTATCCTACACTTTAGTGTGATCTACAGACTGAAATCTCTTGCATGGGCTTTGGTGACCTTTTCATTCTCTTCTCTATATACACATGGGCCTATGTGTCTATATGAATATCCCTATCATTCAAATCCTGGGTAGGCACAGGAAAAGATAAATAATGAAAGATCTGGGTCTTATTTGTATAGGAACTGTGTTCAGTGAGATTGCTAATTTAGTCCATAAATTGTCACTGTATCAATATATGCTTTAACAGAGTTTTCAAGACCTTGTGAATGAGCACAGTGGGAATTTAAGACACCTGGGCTGTGATATGGGTCTGCCTGGTTCATCCTCCCTACCTCAACCCTTCATATCTGTCCTCAAATTAGCAATGCCAGCCATCCTGCTAAAATGATGCTTGTTCTTGCCCCACGGAATTGGCTTAGTCAGTTCCCACTGCTCTGCAGTGTCCTCCAGACACCCCCTGACTTAGCTTCCCCATATGCTTCAGGTCTTTGTGCAAATGACACCTAAGAAAGCTTCCCCTGCCCAAGCTTTGGTAATTGCAACATTCCTTACACCAAAAGCTGATCACTGCTTTTCTTTTTTTTCTGCAACACGTAATGCCTTCTAGTATTCTATACAATTTATTTAGTATTATTTGTCTTTCACAAACTAGAATGTAAGCTGCATGAACCTGAAGAATTTTAAAAATGTTTTGCTTATAATTGCATCCTTAGTGCCTATTATACACTGGGTATAAGTACTCAAAATATCTGTTGAAAAAAACATAGAAGCCAGTTTAGTGGTTCCCACTGATCACCTCTAGAACATTTTAAATATCAAAATAAATAATGGTAGTAAAGTATTAGAACCCACTGAATCATGTAAGAAGCCAGGAAAGATACTGATGTAAATGAATGAATGAGAAGGAAAAGCTCTTCTACACAGTAAAAAACTAATCAATGGAGAAAACCATCATTTGGCAATCAACCACATCAATACTTGATTCAATTAAGCATCATAAATGGATGCTAATTTATTGGGTGAATGTTCAAAGAGTAATAAAGAACTATGTGCATGGTCTCAAAGTGTCTTATGACAAGGTACTTGCTAATTACAAAAACATGAAATATTGTCTCACAATGAAGAATTTTGGAAGACACTAACATGTGCTATGCAAGTCAACATTGCTAGTAAGAAGATGAATGGGCAGAACACACCTCCTGATATGACACAGTGCAGAGAACTTGCACCCATTCCAAGACATTCCTGCTCAAAGAGCACAGCTTGATTCTCGCCAGAGGGAAACATCAGACAAGTTCAGCTAGAGGGACATTCTGCAAAACAACTGATCAGCACACTTAAAAACTGAGTGTCATGGCACACAAAGACAGAGTCCTTGTTCCAGATTAAAAAGACTAAAGACACATGAAAATCCAATGAAATAAACAGACTTGGCTTCTCGTTGCTACAAAGGACACTGGATTATAGGTGAAATATAAATAAGGTCTGTGAATTAGGTAATAATATTTTATTAGTGTTAATTGTCTGATTTTGATAATTATGCTGTTATGTAAGGTAATTTCTTGTTTTGGAGACATACACTGAAGTATTGGGGTAAGAGGCACCTAGTTCACATTATTAACAACATATATGTATACATATACATATTTTATGTGTGTATACATGTACAGGGAGAGAAATATTGGAAATGTTGTAAAATATTGACATTTATGAATCTGACTGTAGGGAATAAGAATTCTTTATATATTACTCTTGCAAGTTTTCACTGAGTTTGAAATTATATAAAACTAAAATAAATTTTGAATAAATGGATATATGAGATAGAAGAACTGGGGAAAAGTTTTCCAGAATTTGTACAATGAAATCAGCAAGGCCACTATTACTAAAATGTGTACTTAGGGTAGCAGAGGTGCTGCAGTTTGTAAAAGTGAGGTGACTGCACTGCTCAGTGACTTACATTCCACTGCAGCCTCTGCATGCCAATGTCAGAAGGTCATGGTGAAGGTCAGCTTCCAGCAGCAGTTGCATTGCAGGTGTGGAGGTATGTGCCCACATGTTCTGCTTTTGCGCTTAATATGTGATTGGATGTTAAACTTGTGAAATGTCATTTTCTTCAAGGGAAAATAAAACAGTTCCAAGTTCAGAGATGAGGTTTTCATTGTTGTTGTCAGCCATGCTATGCTTGGT